AGAGGGAGAGAGATGCTCGAGAAAGAGGCACAGAGAAAGAGGCTAGGGGGAGCAGGAGAGGGAGAGAGAGAGAGGGAGAGGCACAGAGAAAGATGCTAGGGGGAGCAGAAGAGGGAGAGAGAGAGAGAGGGAGAGGCACAGAGAAAGATGCTAGGGGGAGCAGAAGAGGGAGAGAGATGCTCGAGAAAGAGGCACAGAGAAAGATGCTAGGGGGAGCAGGAGAGGGAGAGAGAGAGAGAGGGAGAGGCACAGAGAAAGATGCTAGAGGGAGAGGGAGGGAGTGAGAGAGATAGAGGGAGAGACAAAGAAAGATGCTAGAGGGAGAGGGAGAGGGAGAGAGAGAGAGGGGAGAGAGATGCTAGAGGAAGAAATGAGGAGGGAGAGAGATGCTAGAGGGAGAGGCACAGAGAAAGATGCTAAGGGGAGAGGGAGAGAGAGAGAGAGATAGAGGGAGAGACACAGAAAAAGATGCTAGAGAGAGAGGGAGAAAGAGATAGAGGGAGAGAGACAGAGAAAGATGCTAGAGGGAGAGGGAGAGGGAGTGAGAGACAGATAGAGCGCAAGACACAGAGAAAGATGCTAGAGGGAGAGGGAGAGAGAGAGAGAGAGAGATGGCATTGGCATTGTTGCCTATATTGTTGGCATTGTTGCCCAGACTTACTTGGGCTCCCCCTCCACTGGTGTCTTCACACCGTTCCATTTCGGATTCAAAAGAGTAGCATTCCTCTTCCTCTTCACTCCTGCATTCTTCACCGTCTTGGGCTCCGTCTGTAATATTCCACAGGAACGAAATATTTCTACAATCAAGGTCATACTTGCATTTCCATATCCATCTATTAAGATCATTTTATCACAAATACCTATCCTAGCTATATATTAATTAGGTCAACAGTGTAATTGCTTGTGTTACGGAATGGGAATGGAATCGAAAATGGGTGCAAGGCTAATGTCATAACTACTGCAGCTCTGCAAATCAATGAAAAACATGGACTAACAGCAAGCAACTTCTTCCAGTTAGCCGAAACGTCTCCCGGGTTGGACGGCGGTTCCACCTCGACTGTGACTGCCGCCATCTCACTCGCCAATTTTTGTAGATTTTCACTGTCTGTGTTGGCTCCCAATTCTGTTTTTCCCTCGTGCGTCTTCCTTCGCTTTGCATGTTTCTGCCTAGTCCTAAGCTTCATTTGCTTGTTGTATTCCCTAGCTTTCAGCTTTCGTTTTTCTACAGCTACTTGACGTTTGCCTTTCGCCGAGGCGGCTTTTCGATGCGCAGCGCTCTCTGAAGCAACTTCTACTTTCACAGCCGTCGTTTTCGGTTCAATGCGGTCAGGCACGCATTTCCCGGCCGCGCGTTCTTCCGTGTTCCGCTTTGCACAAGCATTGGCCTGCGGCTTTCGCACCATTTTTCTGCCGCGTAACTTCTTCCGCTTTGATCCAGAGGGCGCCGCGGCGGGCGCTAGCAAGCACGGCAGCTTCTCGTCGGGCTGCGTCCGCTTCCGTTTGCGTTCGGTCCGGCTGACCTCCGTCTGACCCTCGGCATCGATCGGCGGAACCCGCGCGTTGGCTCGAGTCCCACGCCTCATGCCGGAATGTCCGTCGGCCGCGTCCGAACCCGGCCGAGAGTCAGCGTCCGGCGACAGAGACAACGTTGCGGCGTCCGAACTCCGAGTCTTGTTGATTTTCCGCTGCATCTTTCGTTTGCGCGCACGCCCCGTTGCTACGGACAACGCATCGCCAGGATTCTGCGCACTCGGACGATGCGGCTCAACCGTCGTCGACCCGTCCGCGACATTATTCGCTTGGAGCGGTTTCGCTGGTGCGGCCTCTTGCTGACTCGCAGACTTTAACACGCCAATAACGGGTTTCTTCTTTTTGTTTCTCTTTCTGGGTTTCTTTTTTCGGTCGTGCGACGGACCCTGAGGCCGCGTCACACTCGCAGACAGGTTTGCGTTCGGGTTTGGTAAGCACGCTGTGTGCTGGCCATCACCTTTACGCTGTTCTTGTACCATGCTGAAATCTGTAATATTGATAAATTACGTGTGCAAATTGAGTGAGAATAACTTGGGGGCTAAGACCACAGGCACTTAATTGGAGCGTTTCAATAAAATATAATGCTAAATAAATACGAAATCTATTTACTACCAAAGTCTTAATGTTTCTCTACTCTCTTTCACATATTATTGCCGACAATTTCCTGTAAATGCCGTCCAAATGCTCATCTGCAACACACGCTGGCAGCCGCACGCTAGCTGCTGCACACTGACACATAAATATATAGCAGGTAAGAAAGCGTGCTGCCAAAATTCGCTCGACGCTTGCTTGATTTCATACGAATACAACACAAATATTCAACCATTCTACTCCATCTTTGTTTCTATTTGAAGAACAGTGTTCACTTGTTATAAACACATACTGTCTGTGTTCGTAATCACACAAAGCCTGACGAAATTCTCGCGTTCGCTCCCGTTGCGCAGTTTATGTAAATGGCTGTCGGAATCAGGAAACACGTACGTACCCACCGGCGCTCTTCATGACCTCATTTTTGCGCCGCAACGCTTTT